CATGCGGTGTCCAGCAGGGGGCGCGCGCGGGCCAGGCCTAGGCCCGAGACCTGAGCGGGCAGAGCCGGGGGAGCGAGAACCCGGAACCTCCTTGTTTCAACCCGCCCCACCCTCCGGACGCTCAGGGTCTGCGAGGCCGAACTTGGAAGCCCAACTGCAAAATGCGCCCTAGGCTTCTAGTTCTCCGCCCCTGGGTCTGCCTGGGTTTGGGAGCCCAGCCTGGTCGTTTTAGCCCAGATTCCGTCAGATTCGGAATCTGGTACCCGCGCTAGAGGATTGGAACCTGATAGCCTTCCTTTCCGCTGCCCCTACTCCCACACACCTGATTGAGGTGCCTGTTTCTTTAACCATCAAAGACGTGGGTGGTGGCGGGGGTAGTGTCTTCGCTCTTGTTCCTCAGCCCTTCAGTAACTATATCGTTATTAACATTATAAACATTAGACAGTCTCTTGTGTGGCTCGCGGAGCCGGGCGCGGTGCGCGCAGTCTCCTAGCTGAGCTCTGAGGCCGAAGCGGGCATTACTGCTCCCAGACCTCGGCGGATCGGTTCTGGCCCGGCGGGGAAGGCGGGAGTAAGGGGCGTCTTTTTTCCCCCAGGGCAGGCTTGGAGAGCAAAAGCGCTGCCAGAAAGTGGAGAGGCGTCGCCAGAGCCCGAAGGAATCAGCGCCCGCGCCCGGGTGCCCGCCGGGCACTTTTCCACAGCCCCTCCACTCGCCTGGCGCCCTTTCTCCCCGCCGAATCCCCCGGCTTTTGCCTCCCGGGCAAGAGAGCAAGGAAAAGCGGTCTCTTTTGGCTCAAGGGCACCGAGAGGTTCCCAAGATGCTGGAGGGGCGAGCCTCTGTGGCTCAGGGAATCTCTGGGCGGACAGAGAGCGAGCCCATTCTCACTTCCCTTCCCCCGCCTCAGTCTAGCAAGTTGTCCTGCCAGTCCGCCTACTTCACGGAGGCAGAAAGAAACAAAAGGAAATGAAAATCTGGGAAGGGTCCACCGACCGTGCGCCTCCAAGCCGGATTCTCTGAGCCCAAGCCTCTCCCACCCCAGCCCCAGAAGGCCCCGAGGGCCTGCCATCCAGCCCCGACTGTGTCTACGCTGCTGGGCCTCCCCTGACCGCTAATCACTTGCCAAGGCTCAACTAGGAACCATCCCCTCAACGCTCCCAAGTCGCCGACCTACGCCGAGGACGCCCCCACGCCCTGCAGACAAAGAAGCCATTGCCAGGACCCGCTGTTCACGCCACTTCTCGGCCCACTCAGGGCCAAACTGCAGAGACTCCTTCCAGGGTTAGGGATTCGCTCTCGGCTGTCCCCTGACACGGTGTGTGTGTGGGGAGCGAGACACGCAGTTCGCGACCCTTGGCTCCTACGAGGACCTTTCCCCCAGCAGGCCCCGACGCCCTTCTCCTCCATTCGCTGTAGGGTCCCCAGGCCTTGGAAGGTGGAGTGAAGTTCTGGGCTCTGAGCTCTGGACTGAGCGAGACGCGCGGGTCCCAGCCTGCTGATCAGCCTGTAGCAACCACTGGAGTAGAAGGGAGGGAAGAACGCGGAGAGTGCCCGCTCCAGTCAGTTCATATTTAATTTACAAAGGAGTCTTGGAACCCCGGGCCGGGTGGTCTCTTTAGATGCAGAGTTCCTCACCAGTCTCTCCCTCCCCCTCTCCCCATCTCATTAAAATGCTCAACCCTCAAATCAGGATATTGATCTCCTCAGAAGCCCCAACCCCGCACTATCGACCCACCGCGTAAGACCCGTACGGCCCGAGGTGGGAGCTGGGGGGCCACGTGCGCCCTAAGAGCCCAGTGTCTGTGACAAGGACGGCTGCGAAGGGGGGCGCGTCTCCTGGAGTTTGTCCCCCTTCTTGATTCTGACCAGCAGCTCTATCTCCAGGGTAGCTGTGCCCAGCACAGGGAGGCAAAAATCGAGTGTTAGCCAAATGCCTCGGCATCCTCGCGCCTCTGTCTCTTTGTCGCGAAAAGAAATGCCTGGGTTTCACCAGGAGACCGGGCGAGTCGCGAACAGCAAGTCTCTAAGGCTTCTGAGGCGCGCTGTTACGTGAGGGTGTGAGACGGCGGGCTGTGGCGGGCCCCCGCGGCATTGGCGGGTGGTGTGTGTGGGTGACCGTGTGATTGCTTGTGAGCCTGTGAAGATATGTACGGAGGTAGGAGAGGCTTGGCCTTAAGTCACCAGCCCGCAGAGACGCAAACGTTTTGTAATCGTTCCCGTCCATGCCACTGTCCGCTGCAGCCACAGTGTCCCATTAGCCTGGGGCAGGCCAGACCCGCGGGGAAAGCGTTTGAGTGCGCTCAGGATGGCTTCCTAGGAGAGTGGGTTGATCGGGCGTGCCCACCCTACCCCTCGGTGCGCTAAGGCCAGCGCGTTGGGCCATGGGGTTCAAGCGCTGGTTTAGCCACAAAAGACCAGACCAAAAGAGTCGAGCTTTCAGAGGTTGTGTAAGGGTGGAGGTGGGTTGGGGGTGGGGGGACATTGTCTCGCCGCACTCCCAGCGTTGCCGCGCGTTCTCGTCACCGGGTTGAATTGGCAGGGGGCGGGGAAGAAGGGGTCTCAGATCTGCACGGATCCAGGCAAAAACGGCAGGGAGGGTGAGGCGCTCTGCTAACACTATCAATTATGCATCGTGTTGAACGTGTCTTCGGGGAGGAGGAGGCTAGCAGGGAGTGCAGGAGGGAACGGTCCTTGTGCGCCCGGCTGTGCGCAACTCAGCGGGTCCCGCTCGAGGTCTGTCTACGCCACAGCCCACATTTGCAAAAAGAGTTTAAAGGCAAAGACACGCCTCCCACCCCCCACCCCAGCTGCGTGCCTTCCTTCTCCAAATTCCTCAAAAATGGTTTGTCTCACGTGTTGCGGAGCGTAAAAGCTGTTCGCATTCAATTAGGAGCGAAGCTCGCGGGCGTTGGCGGGACCGGCGCGTAAGGGTGAGTGCGCGTGAATGTGTGTGTGTGCGGAGAGGAAGAATGGGTAGGGTCTCGGGTGCGGTGTGTATGTGAAAATAAGAGTGAACGTTATGAGCGCTCAGCACATTGACGCGATTATTACATTATGATGGATAATTCTAACATATGAAGGTCGACTTGTGGAGGGGGTGACGGTGAGGGCCTGTGTGTGTCTGTAAGAATGCATTTGAACGTGGGGGGCAGTGTAGGGAGAAATAGTGACAATGTCAGCGGGCGTGTAAATCTGGGGGGACATATGTTCTGGGGGTGCGGTGAGCTGGAAAGAGCCCTGCGGTGGGCGCGGGGCGCCCCATGTGGCCGATGGGTCTCTTTAACAAATGTGGATATTGGGGGAGGTGGGAGAGGCTGTGCGCGTCCCTGTCAAGTCCGGGAGCGCGCGCAATCTCTCTCCAACCTGCAACCCGAGAGAAGTGGGGGGAGCAGACGAGAAAGGAAAAAACTGCCAGTGAGACCTCGGGGCCAGGGGAGTCCCCAAAACTCACAGGTTCCTTTCACCGCCTCTCCCTCGTCTCTCCCCTGACAGGCGCAGCGACTGATGCCGGGAGCATCCTTGGGCTGTCGTCTGGCTTGGCAACACCTTGTCTGGAGCAGGGGTTTCTGCCCAGGGCAGAGAGCCCAGAGTCTTCGAGCAGTGGGTAAGCTAAGGGGACCCGCTCCACAACCTCGACCAGGTGAGGAGTAGGTCCCCCTTTAGGGCGCTGGACCCCACTGGCATGTTCTGGGCAGCACAGGGGGGAGGGGGCCTCTCCAGGGATCTAAGGTGGAACAGGGACTCAGGTTCCCTAGGACTGAATGTGGGAGGGGCTCTGCCAAGCCTGAAAGGCCCCCATGTGGCAGGCGGGTGTCTGTGTGTAAGTGTGTTTGTGTAGTTGGGGATAAGATTTTATGGGAGTGGGGTACCCAGGCATAGTGAAACTTCAGAGTAAGCCATGGAATCTTGAAATTTCCCCAGTTTCATTAGTTTGTGGCAGCCCTCGTGGACCACTGGATGCCACCTGGGCCCCTGGGGGACCCAATGGGGTATTCTGAGGACCATTTCCCCAATACTTCTGTCCCAGACCTCCCAGGAGGACCACCCTTTCTGCACAGAAGGTCAACAACACAGCCCTAGCTCTTTCCTAGCAGAAGCAGGAGACTCTAACCATCACAGGAGAGGGTCCTGTGGGTCTGCTTCCCCTATCCCACTCCTTGCATCACTAGCCCCAAGTTCAGGTTTTAGGCTTGCTGATCAGCTGGGCTAGGAAAGCCAAAGGCTCCAGCCCCAGTGGAGGGCTGTGTGCACAAGCAAGTGCATGCCTGTGTCCCTGTGTGTGGATCCGTTCAAGTGAGGATATGTATCCTTGTCTTGGTCAATTCTCACAATGGGCAGGAAAGTGCTTTGCATCATGGTGGAAACCACTGCACAAATGCAGGGTTCAGTTGCCAGGACAATGAGGTACCCATGTCTGGGTGCCTGTGTTTGTTATGAAATGTGTTGTGAACCTCTTGATGGAGCATAGGGGCCATAAACTTTTGCAGAAATTGGCGCATTTATAGCGATACCCAAGTGTGCTTATGTACTGTGTGCATCTGCACGGGCACGTGTGCGAGTGTTGTGCGTGGGACAAAGGGAAGACCGCCGGTCACGGACAAAGATTCCCTCTCTATGGATCCTTTTCACTGGGCTGAGTGGAGTCTCAGAAACAGAGAGGGGTCAGTACGGAGCCCAGGGAAGATCAGAGAGCCACCGAGCCTGTGGAGAGGTCAGTGCTTAGTGGTATAGGGTGAGAGAATAAGTCAGGAAGGAAGAGGGAGGCATGGGATGACTGGAAAAAGCGGCTAAGGCCTTGCGAGTGAGTACCTACTGAATCCCGGGACTTCTACAGAGCTCCACTAGCGCCCAAAAGAATATCCTCTGCATTGAGAAGGTTGCAAGAGCTCTGGGGCCTACTTTAGACCGGCTTGCCTAGGACGGGTTTTATAAAGGAGGGGAACTGGAGGACAGAGAGTCACCTTCTCCTCCCTCATCCCCGCTTCCATCTGCAGGAGCTGCGATGGCGTCCCTGAGGGCCTTGTGGCTGGCCTGGGCGCTGCTCAGAGTGGTGGGAGCGTGCCCCGAGCCGTGCGCCTGCGTGGACAAGTATGCGCATCAGTTTGCCGACTGTGCCTACAAGGAGCTGCGCGAAGTGCCCGAGGGACTGCCAGCCAACGTGACCACGCTTAGTCTGTCTGCCAACAAGATCACTGTGCTGCGGCGCGGGGCCTTCGCCAACGTCACCCAGGTCACATCTCTGTGGCTGGCGCACAATGAGGTGCGCACCGTGGAGCCGGGCGCACTCGCCGTGCTAAGCCAGCTCAAGAACCTCGACCTAAGCCACAATCTCATCTCCAGCTTCCCATGGAGCGACCTGCGCAACCTGAGCGCTCTGCAGCTGCTCAAGATGAATCACAACCGCCTAGAGTCGCTGCCCGGTGACGCGCTCGGCGCGTTGCCGGACCTGCGCTCCCTGAGAATCAACAACAACCGTCTGCGTACGCTGGCGCCCGGCACCTTCGATGAGCTAAGCGCGCTGTCGCATCTGCAACTCTATCACAACCCTTTCCACTGCGGCTGTAGCCTCGTGTGGCTGCAGGCCTGGGCCGCGAGCACCAGGGTCTCGCTGCCGGAGCCAGATTCCATTGCTTGCGCCTCGCCTCCCTCGCTGCAGGGAGTGCCGGTGCACCGCTTGCCCAAGTTGCCCTGTGCACCGCCCAGCGTGCATCTGAGCGCAGAGCCGGCGCCTGAAGCACCCGGCAGCCCTCTGCACGCTGGACTGGCTCTAATGGTGCACTGCATCGCCGAAGGCCACCCGGCGCCTCGCCTGCAGTGGCACCTTCAGATCCCGGGAGGCACTGTAGTTTTAGAATCGCCGACCCTGAGAGAGGAGGACAACGGAGACGGGGCAGAGGACGGAGAAGGGGATGGGGACGAGCCGACGCTGATCGAGGCCCCAACCCCGACTCCGGCACCCGCTTGGCCCGCACCCCCAGCTACCCCACGCTTCCTGGCCCTCTCAAACGGTTCCCTGTTGGTGCCCCTGCTGACTGCCAAGGAGGCAGGCGTCTACACCTGCCGCGCACAAAACGAGCTGGGCGCCAACTCGACGTCAATACGCGTGGCTGTGGCAGCAACAGGGCCCCCGAAGCACGCACCCGGCGTCGGGGGAGAACCCGGTGGGCAGACCCCGGTCTCTGAGCGCAAGTTCACAGTCAAAAGTCGGGGCAATAGCGTCCTGCCATCTAAGCCTGAGAGCAAAATCAAAGGCCAAGGCCTAGCGCGGGTCAGCGTCCTCGGGGAAGCAGAGACGGGGCTGGAGGAGGAGGCAGGTGAGGGAGAAGAAACAGAAGACCAGATCCCAATGGACCCCGCGGAGGAACAGCGCTGCGGCCACGGGGACCCCTCGCGGTACGTGTCTAACCACGCTTTCAACCAGAGCACGGACCTCAAACCCCACGTCTTTGAGCTGGGCGTCATTGCTCTGGACGTGGCGGAGCGTGAGGCGCGGGTCCAGCTGACGCCGCTGGCAGCGCGCTGGAGCCCTGGGCCCAGTGGGGCCAGGGGAGCTGGGCGGCGGCCCCTACGCCTACTTTATCTGTGCCCAGCGGGGGGCGGCGCAGCTGTGCAGTGGTCGCGGGTAGAGGAGGGAGTCAACGCCTACTGGTTCCGCGGCCTGCGTCCTGGCACCAACTACTCCGTGTGTCTGGCTCTGGCGGGCGAGGCGTGTCACGTGCAGGTGGTGTTCGCCACCAAGAAGGAGTTGCCCTCGCTGCTGGTCATCGTGACGGTGAGTGTGTTTCTTCTGGTGCTGGCCACCGTGCCCTTGCTGGGCGCCGCCTGCTGCCATCTGCTGGCCAAACACCCGGGCAAGCCCTACCGCCTTATCCTGAGGCCCCAGGCCCCAGACCCCATGGAGAAGCGCATCGCCGCCGACTTTGACCCTCGTGCCTCCTACCTTGAGTCTGAGAAAAGCTACCCGGTCGGCGGAGAGGCAGGCGGCGAGGAGCCAGAGGAGGCCCCCGGAGAGGGCCTGGATGAAGAAGTGGAGCAGGGGGGCCCTAGCGGCGACCTGCAGAGGGAGGAGAGCCTGGTGGCCTGCTCGCTGGTGGAGTCCCAGTCCAAGGCCAACCAAGAGGAGTTCGAGGCGGGCTCAGAGTACAGCGACCGGCTGCCCCTGGGCGCCGAGGCGGTCAATATTGCCCAGGAGATTAATGGCAACTACAGGCAGACGGCGGGCTGAGCCTTAGGCCCACTCGGCCCGCCCATCCCCACCCCGCACCTTGAATCCCTAGGAGCCTTGGGCTGACAGGACTTATCATCCCATCCCACCCAGGGTACACTTACTCCATCCACCCCCTCGTCACTCCCCAACCCTGAGTACTAGGGACGTCTGGTAGGGAGTGGACCAGTTTCACCAGTCCCAGGTATCCACTGCCTGCCACCATTCTTTTTGAGGGCGGAACCCCCTCCCCCCAAGCACAGTTCCCCACTCCTTCCTCCTCAAATAAGCCAAGACTCACAGATGGGGGTGTGTGTGAAATCCATGCTCTTCCATTGCCGTCGTGATTGATTCCTGAGGGAGCAACCCGTAGGCTGGCTGGCTGTACGCCCCACCGCCCACCCTACCGTGGGCCCTGGATCCAAAGTAAATAGGAGACTTTGGAAACATCAGATGGTAACGCTGTGGCACCAGAACCAGGCCGGGACTCCTGGCAGATGTCCCCAGTGCAGGACGCCGCGCGATCGTGTCTCGACCCCACCCTCTCCACCTTTTTTTTTGAGGCGCAAGGATCCGGTGGCAACAGGATAAATCATTTTCCCTCCGACCCTTCGTGTTTTTGTTTGAAAGCGTCCTTCTTGGCTGGGAACCAAACCCTTCTGTCCTCTACCGCTCCCCACAACCCCACCCCCACCCCCCGCCACGGGCTCTAGCCTGCTTCTAACCAGCTGGAGCCAAGCTGGGTGCCTGGGGCGTCTTTCAGTTCAGTGCTCGGATTTTCCTATTTTCGTTCTTTTCAAAGATAGACACTCCCGGGCCTGGTGCTAACAGTCCCTCCCCAGCTTTCGGAAAAATTGGTTGTTTGGAGCCGGAAGGGACAAGGATCCGTTTTCTCTCGCGCACTCCTCTAACTTAAAACTCTGCGGGACTGCGCCTCACTTTTCTGCTGAGGGTGTGGCCTTGGCCCCAGGCCAATTTCGTTGAAAACTTGTTGGGGTTTCCGGGGATCCGTGCGGCTCCCCTCAGAGAAAGCTAGGGGAGTAAGAAACCAACTCTGGCCCCCTGGCTGGGTCCCTCCTGGGTGTTCCCTCTGGTTGGAACAAAGCCTCGGCGGGACTGCAGCGAAAGCGGATGGAGGAAAGCCTTCGGTCCTCTTGTGCCCCGCCCCACCCCGCCCCGCCCCTCCTTCCGCGAGAATCGCTGTCGCCGGGAGTGTGGTCCTAGACCAGCGTGTTCTGTAGGAGAAAAGTCTGTGTTCGGTAAAGTGTGACCGTGTAGTGTAGAGGGGGCGGGCGGGCAGACAGGTGGGCGGGGAAGGAGGGAGGTGAAGGGCGGGCGAGGCAACTTGGGTTGGGGTTCTTTTTCTTTCTTGAAGGAAAGCTTCGGGGTTGGGGTGGAGGGTTTTTGGGCCAGTGGGCCAACCCTATTTGTGAAGCGCAGCACAAGTGGGCCCGGGAAGGAGTAGCCCCCCCCAAAACCCCGGAGTCCGCGCCCTTTTCTATACTCGTCTGTATGTAAACAGTCAATAAACAATCGGTTTGAACTGAACTTGGTGACTCATTGTTGGAGAACAGAGTGAGGCGACGGGGAGGTGGTGGTGAAGGAGGAAGGCGCCCGGTGTGCGTCTTTTGTGTGATTTGGTGTTTGTCTGACAGTTTGGTGATTTTGCCAGGTGTTTGCAAACAGGAGTTGGTGCCTCCAACTGCTGGGTGGAGGGGGACCACGGGAAAGAGAGTGGAGTTAGGGAGGCTGGAAGAGAGTGGGGACGGGATTGGCAGAGAGGGAGGGATGGGTCTCTGCACACCGTGAGCCCAGGGGACTCCAGGATTGTGTAAGTGGTGTGTGTGTGTGTGTGTGGACTGCCTAGTTTCTGTGTCTCAATACCAGCCTGAGTTCTGAGAAGCCACTGTCCGGGATTCATAGGGGCTGAACATCTGTGGCTTCCACGGAAGAAGTCACACTAAACATAAACTACAGAAAAAAGCTGGCATCTTTAGCCCAGAGCCGAAGGTGTGGGGGCGGGGAAGCGCTCAGTGAAATACGTGGACAAAGGGAGGGAGTGGAAAGTCTATCAGTGTGTTGCGGTGTGTGCATGCTTAGAATCAAGGTTGAAGGCAGACTGCTTCATTAGTCGTAGAAATGGGGCTCCTTGGGTGAGGACCAGGAGAAATGGGCACAAGAGTGGATGTGTTGCTGCTGAGCCTTGGCTGGCTGTGTGCTTTCAGCTGAATTCTGCACCCCTCCACCCCCACCCCCAGGATAGGGAGGGAGTACCCAGGAATGCAAGTAGAAGAGACAGAAAGGAACCGAGGTCTGAGGTTAGGAGAGCCAGTGAGGATTGTGTCCCTCTCCTCCCTTCTTCCTGCTCCCCATTTCTTCTCTTCCCTCACCCTCACTGTGGGCATCAGGTCCTCCTGCTTGGACCAGTCCAGGCTGGGACCAGGTCTGGATCCAGGCACCTAGCATCCTATCCTAGCCCCAGGCCTGTCTCTGGACAGAGGCAGTGGTTGTGACATTTCCCAGAGGTCTGAGCCCAGGTTCCCTTCCCAGACCAGCCAAGGTCTCTCAGAAAACACTCCCTTCTAAGGACCACAGCCTGAGCCCTGCCCCTGCTCACAGCTAAGGCCAGGGCACTGCAGCCCATCCCACTGCCAGGGAAGAGAATCTTTTAGGAAGAGGGTGGCTTTGTTCTACTTGCAAATGCCACCTTTGAGGAGTGGCCAGAAACCAGCCCAATGAATCAACACACAGATGACTGTGTTTTGGTACAGGCCAGGATAGACCAGTGAATGCTCAGCTATTTGGGTCCAATCCAATTCTCTAGTGATGGGTGTCTGAAGGGAGAAGGGCTCCTTCCCGACCCTCCCTGTCCTAAGGAACTGGGGGGCATCCTGGCAACCCCTAAGATCCTGAGTGTCTGCAAAGGAATGTTCAGGGGAGCTGAACATTCTGCCCCTTCTTTGTCGGGAGTAATGGGTGAATGCACACTCTGCTCAGTTAGGGCTTGTGCTCCCTGGACAAGACCAGGCCCAAAAGCAGGGCCCAGAGGATAGGAACAGTGGGTATTGGAGGCCAAGGGACAAGGCTGCGAGATAGTCTTCTCTACTGACTGCCCACAGAGGTACCAGCCCTCCTAGGAACTCTCAAGTTTTTCTCTAAATGTTTGGTCCATGCACAGAATGGGCCCCACCTTCTGGCCTTCCTTTCTGTCTCTTTCTACATTTTATTGTTTCATTTCCTCCCCACTTCTCTCTATTCTTTCTTTCTCCCTCTCCTTTTTCTTCCTCAAGGAATCTCATAACATCTCAGAGTTCAAAGGGACCCTGAAGACTTGCTAGTTCAACAATCCATTTGAGGCTTAATTCTTGTCTATACTACCCTGGTGGTGGTCGTACAACCTCAGTTTGTACTTATCCAGAAAAGGGGAGCTCAGTTTTTCTTGCCACCCCCAAGGGACCAATTGGTGAACAGTTCCAAATATGTGCCCTCTTGCTTCTACTCCCATAGTGACTAAGGCATTTGACTGCTAAGCAGAAGGTTGGCGGTTCAAGCCCACCAGCCATTCTGCAGAAGGAAGAGACGGCAATCTATTTCTGTAAAGATTTACCACTTCGGAAACCCATGGAGGGTCACTATGAGTCAGAATCAATGGCAGTGAGCTTGGTTTTTGGTTTGCTTCTACTCCACAGGCATGACTGTCCTGGTACTGCTCTGTAAGAATGCTGAGGAGGCCTGGAGGCGTAATCCCCAGCTCCTGCCTTCACCATAGAACTCCAAAGCTTTCCATCTCATGTACCTCACTGAGTGTCTACTACTATGTGCTTCAGGTGCTGTGCTAGCTCAGATTTCTCTAGTTACTTCTGTCATAAAATATATTTGGATGCTATATGGGATCGAGGTCTAATAGGTTGAGGAGTGTGTGCATGTGTGTGTAAGTGTGTGTGAGTGGGTACTGGGGGACCTGGGAAATGGTCAGAGAATGTAATCTGACAGGAGTAGCCTTGGAACTCAGCACTGTTTATCAGGTGCAGTAATTCTTTGAGCTACAGAAACCAGACGCCCAGGATGTGGCCTTGGATCAGATCGGAAACCTGTCTGCAGAAAGCTGATTTGAAAGGAGTGCCCCCCCACCACACACACACCATGTATCTTGAAGATCATTAGAGAAAGTCCATTAATATAAGAGGACAAAGGGAGGCAGGGCTTCTTTGAGGCAAAAGCAGTTTTGCTTCCTCATCTTGTATTTGGAACACAGTCCTCCATCTGTGGCCTCTAAATAATAACAACGGAAGCTAACATCTGTGAAGATTGAGTCAGTACGTGTTTGGACTGTCACTCACAGGTGAGGATGTTAATCTCAGTTTTCCCTCCTGGATCTCAGGGCAGTGTATTCAGTTGATAATGAAAATGGGACTGCAGAATTTTGTGACTGCTTCACCCCAAATTTGTTAACATCAAAGCTCCAGTTATGAGACACTCCGCAAGGAGAGAGAGGCCTTCTGTCTGCATAGCAAGGGGCGTCACCTGCAGAGAAAAATCCACGACTGTGTGAACACTGTGCAGGAGAAGCTGGAGGAACGTTTCCATTTGGGGATGAGGTGCACACACTGAGGAAAGAGCTAAGCCCAGGTACCAGGACTTAAGAAAGTCCCATATAGAGGCAATACGTTGCCAGGTTTGACCTAATAAATATCTATACTTAGTAAATCTCCAATACAAAGGTATCGACAAGAGCAATTCTGCTGGAAAATTGGGGATGGAGCTAGTAGAACCATTTCAATTATAATATGTCAATTAATTGATTGCGTTTGAAACACACCCAGCACGCAAATGTGTTCAATGACAAGGTTTTGCCTTAGGACTCAATGGAGAATAACATTATACTGAAAATGAAAGATCTGCTTGTGACTAGAATATAAAAGAGATTGAGTTATAAAATGTCTAACAATATAAGTGTTTAGCTCCAAATATGGCCAGTGTTCCTAATGAAGCTTGATACAGATTAAAAAAAAAAAAAAAGT